TATAACATTAATAAAACTAATCCTAATTAAATCTTATAAAAAATTACTTGGTATATTTGTCCTTGCTTCCTTCTGTTTTCATCTTCATAGTCTATATTGAAAGCTAAATAACATTAATAAAACTAAGCCTAATTAAATCTATATAAAAAATTACTTGGTATATTTGTCCTTGGTTCTTCCTTCTGTTCTTCATTTCTTCATCTTCATAGTCCTATAACTGAAAAGCTAAAGCTATTAACAAATAAAACTAAGCCTAATTAAATCTATATAAAAAATTTACTTGGTATATTTGTCTTTGGTTCTTCCTTCTGGTCTTCATTTCATAGTCCTATAACTGAAAAGCTATAACAATTAATAAAACTAAGCCTAATTAAATCTATATAAAAATTTACTTGGTAATTTGTCTTGGTTCTTCCTTCTGTTTTCTTTCTTCATTTCATAGTCCTATAACTGAAAAGCTATAACATTAATAAAACTAAGCCTAATTAAATCTATATAAAAAATTTACTTGGTATATTTGTCTTTGGTTTTCCTTCTGTTCTTCATCTTCATAGTTCTATAACTGAAAAGCTATAACATTAATAAAACTAATCCTAATTAAATCTATATAAAAAATTTACTTGGTATATTTGTCCTTGGTTCTTCCTTCTGTTCTTCATCTTCATAGTCCTATAACTAAAAAGCTATAACATTAATAAAACTAAGCCTAATTAAATCTTATAAAAAAATTTACTTGGTATATTTGTTTGTTCTTTTCTGTTCTTCATTTCTTCATCTTCATAGTCTATAACTGAAAAGCTATACATTAATAAAACTAATCCTAATTAAATGTATATAAAAAATTTACTTGGTATATTTGTCTTTAGTTCTTCCTTCTGTCTTCATCTTCATAGTCCTATAACTGAAAAGGTATAACAATAATAAAACTAAGCCTAATTAAATCTATATAAAAAATTTACTTGGTATATTTGTCTTTGGTTCTTCCTTCTGGTCTTCATTTTAATAGTCTGAATAACTGAAAAACTATAATATTAATAAAACTAAGCCTAATTAAATCTATATAAAAAATTTACTTGGTATATTTGTCCTTGGTTCTTCCTTCTGTTCTTCATCTTCATAGTCCTATATATAAAGAGCTAAAACATTAATAAAACTAATCCTAACTGAATCTATATAAAAAATTTACTTGGTATATTTGTCTTTGATCTTCCTTCTGTTCTTCATTTCTTCATCTTCATAGTCCTATGACTGAAAAGCTATAACATTAATAAAACTAAGCCTAATTAAATCTATATAAAAATTTACTTGATATATTTGTCCTTGGTTCTTCCTTCTGCTCTTCATCTTTATAGTCCTATATCTGAAAAGCTTTAACATTAATAAAACTAATCCTGATTAAATCTATATAAAAATTTTACTTCGTATATTTGTCCTTGGTTCTATCTTCATTTCTTCATCTTCATAGTCCTATAATTGGAAAGCTATAACATTAATAAAACTAATCCTAATCAAATGTATATAAAAAATTTACTTGGTATATTTGTCTTTAGTTCTTCCTTCTGGTCTTCATCTTCATAGTCCTATAACTGAAAAGTTATAACAATAATAAAACTAAGCCTAATTAAATCTCTATAAAAAATTTACTTGGTATATTTGTCTTTGGTTCTTCCTTCTGGTCTTCATTTCATAGTCCTATAACTGAAAAGTTATAACAATAATAAAACTAAGCCTAATTAAATCTATATGAAAAATTTACTTGGTATATTTGTGTTTAGTTCTTCCTCATGTTCTTCATATCGTCATCTTCATAGTTCTATAATTGAAAAGCTATAACATTAATAAAACTAATCCTAATTAAATGTATAAAAAAAATTACTTGGTATATTTGTTTTTAGTTCTTCCTTCTGTTTTTCATTTCTTCTTCTTCATAGTCCTATAACTGAAAAGCTATACCATTAATAAAACTAATCCTAATTGAATCTATATAAAAAAAATTTACTTGGTACATTTGTCCTTGGTTATTCCTTCTGTTTTTCATTTCTTCATCTTCATAGTCCTATAACTGAAAAGCTAAACATTAATAAAACTAATCTAATTAAATCTATATAAAAAATTTACTTGGTATATTTGTCCTTGGTTCTTCCTTCTGTTCTTCATCTTCATAGTCCTATAACTGAAAAGCTATAACATTAATAAAACTAATCCTAATTAAATCTATATAAAAAATTTACTTGGTATATTTGTCTTGGTTCTCCTTCTGTTCTTCATTTCTTCATCTTATAGTCTATACTGAAAAGCTATAACATTAATAAAACTGAGCCTAATTAAATCTATACAAAAAATTTACTTGGTATATTTGTCCTTGGTTCTTCCTTCTGTTCTTCATTTCTTCAGTTTCATAGTCCTATAACTGAAAAGCTACAACATTAATAAAAATATGCCTAATTAAATCTGTATGAAAAATTTACTTGGTATATTTGTCCTTGGGTTTTTCCTTCTGTTCTCCATTTCTTCATCTTCATAGTCCTGTAACTGAAAAGATATACAATTAATAAAACTAAGTCTAATTAAATCTATATAAAAAATTCACTTGCTATATTTGTCCTTGGTCTTCTTTCTGTTTTATAACATTAATAAAACTAAGTCTAATTAAATCTATATAAAAAATTCACTTGCTATATTTGTTCCTTGGTCTTCTTACTGTTTTTCATCTTCAGAGTCCTATATCTGAAAAGCTATAACATAATAAAACTAAGTCTAATTAAATCTATATAAAAAATTCACTTGCTATATTTGTCCTTGGTCTTCTTTCTGTTTTTCATCTTCAGAGTCCTATATCTGAAAAGCTATAACATTAATAAAACTAAGTCTAATTAAATCTATATAAAAAATTCACTTGCTATATTTGTCCTTGGTCTTCTTTCTGTTTTTCATCTTCAGTCCTATATCTGAAAAGCTATAACATTAATAAAACTAAGTCCTAATTAAATCTATATAAAAAATTTACTTGGTATATTTGTCCTTGGTCTTCCTTCTGTTTTTCATCTTCATAGTCCTATATCTGAAAAGCTAAGATAACATTAATAAAACTAAGCCTCATAAAATCTATATAAAAAATTTACTTGGTATATTTGTCTTTGGTTCTTTCTTCATTTCTTCATCTTCATAGTCCTATAACTGAAAAACTAAGATAACATTAATAAAACTAAGCCTCATAAAATCTATATAAAAAATCTACTTGGTATTTTTGTCCTTGGTTCTTCCTTCATTTCTTCATCTTCATAGTCCTATAACTGAAAAGCCGTAACATTAATAAATCTAAGTCTAATTTTACTTGCTATATATGTCCTTGGTCTTCCGTCTGTTTTTCATCTTCATAGTCGTATATCTGAAAAGCTAAGATAACATTAATAAAACTAAGCTTAATAAAATCTATATACAAAATTTACTTTGTATATTACTTACGTACTGTCTTACTTCTGTCTTTATTTCTTCATCTTTATAGTCCTATAACTGTAAAGCTATAACATTAATGAAATTAAGCCTAATCAAATCTATGGAAAATATGTACTTGGTCTATTTGTTCTTGGTTCCTTCTGTTTTTCATTTTGTAATCTTTATATTTGTGCACCTGAAAAACTGGGATACAATAATAATAACTTGGCCTGGTGAAATCATTCTCACCCCTAATGGTGTCCTAATGAGTAAATCTCTCAAAAATAAAAAATAAAATTAAAAAAACTGTTTAAAAACAAAGAAACAAAAAAGCCATGGCATACCCTGTAACTTTTTGTTCTTTTGTTGCTCTCTTGATAACTTTTTTCCTGTTGAAAATATCTCAAGAAAAATAGAATAGAAAATAATAATTATGACAAATGATAGCAATATATAGAGGCTATTACAGAAAAAGGATTCATTTTCAAATATGCAATATCAAAAGTATACATAAAACAGTATTAGTATGATTGTACTTTAAAAATTAGCATATTCTACAAAAAATGTATAGAAAAAATAACCATTTTTAAATCAAAATGTCTATATTGATAGAACTATTTACGGTCTTGGTTGTAATGAAGCCTATTACAAAATTGCATGATTCTTTAGTGCTAATTGAATATAAATATCTCAGTCAATTTTTAGCTAACAAGTTGGTACATTTGAATTTGTAACACACAAAACTATTATCAGATAAAAATAGCACTATTCTCAGAGAAAGCCCAATATTCCTAACAAAATACCATAAGTGATAAAGATTTTTCAACAAAAATTAAAACATTGTGGATATATTTATTGAAATCAAATAAATATTGGATATGGGAAAAACAAAGAGTAGTTTTGGTATGTCTTGAATTTGTCTATTTTCTTGAACTATAAGAAATTATGGTTACTAAGAATGACGCCACCAAAAAGAGGCTTGTCAAACACTCTACATACTCGGATTCGTAAAATGCTTTGATTGTCATTCAAGTTCTGATTTGAAAAAAGGTACTGACATTCAACTGTATTGCCATGTTTACTGTCATAAATATTAAAATAACAACAGATAATTTTGACCACCAATTGCCAGATTCTGTGGTCATTTATATTTTAGTATTGGCCGAACAAATATTGCTACTATGATTGCCATGCTGTGTATTCCCTCCCTTCATGGGCCCACCAATCACCAGAACCCCATCCCCCCTCCCAACCCCTGTGTATGTGAGTGTAGTATATTTGTTTTTTGTTTTGTTTTTTGATGGAGATTCATCGACAGAAGAGACAAACCATGCCGGCCTGGTTTGTTTTCCGAAGACGATTCCAAACAAAGAACAAGCAGTGTTGATAAAGTACCGGTAATAGATTAGATTTGTGTGTTAGGTAGCATTGACAACCATGAATAGACTTATTTAGTTCGTACTGATTACAAATGTTATCAAAATGAGTAAATAAGACAATAATGAGATATCATAGCATTATATTTTGAATGCTCATTCTTATTAATAAGAAAAGTATTTGTATAATTAAGTTATATGACAAATATGTTGAATGACGCCGCCTCCTTCATGCCAAATTATTAAAGTAATCACAGGAATGTATGTTTAGAATTGAATGGAGTGATGAAATGGAAAATTTAAAATACAAATTTAAACGATGTTTTGGTATAATAAATATATCCACTATCTAATTTTACATAAGACATGAACTATAAATTCTTAATTTTTAAATATGGAATCAAATATAGAAATTGTATTGTAGCATAACGAAAAATACAAAAAAAATTGATGTGGGTTCTAAACAATGGTTCGATCAAGAATCTGTTTCCGTTTATTAAAATCACAAGAACATGATTGGTCGATCCATTTGTTCTTGCATATAAGATTAAAGTACGTATGCATTGGGAATAGTCTAAAATAGTCTCATAGCATTGGGAATAGTCTAAACTAGTCTCATGCCATTGGGTATAGTCTAAAATAGTCTTATGACATTGGGTATAGTATAAAATAGTCCCATGCCATTGAGTATAGTTTAAAATAGTCTCATGTCATTGAGTATGGTCTTAAATAATCTCATGCCATTGGGCTTGGTCTTAAATGGTCTCATGCCATTGGGTATAGTCTAAAATAGTATTATGGCATTGGGTATAGTATCTAAAATGGTCTCATGCCATTGGGAATAGTCTAAAATAGTCTCATGGCATTGGGCATAGTCTGAAATAGTCTCATGACATTGGGTATAGTCTAAAATAGTCTCATGTCATTGGGTAGGCTAGGCTAAAATGGTCTCATGCCATTGGGTATAGTCTAAAATAGTCTCATGGCATTGGGCATAGTCTGAAATAGTCTCATGGCGTTGGGTATAGTCTGAAATAGTCTCATGGCATTGAGTATGGTCTTAAATAATCTCATGCCATTGGGTTTGGTCTTAAATGGTCTCATGCCATTGGGTATAGTCTAAAATAGTATTATGGCATTGGGTATAGTATCTAAAATGGTCTCATGCCATTGGGAATAGTCTAAAATAGTCTCATGGCATTGGGCATAGTCTGAAATAGTCTCATGGCATTGGGTATAGTCTAAAATAGTCTCATGTCATTGGGTAGGCTATAGGCTAAAATAGTCTCATGCCATTGGGTATAGGCTAAAATAGTCTTAAGTGCAGCTCAATGCATTTGTTTGCAAGTAGTTCCCAGACATGTTTGATAAAACTCTCTTTCAGATTTGAATACTCAAGTTTTACCATTTTTTATGATTCCAGATTCCAAGTTCTTTAATTGAGAAAACCTGTAGAAAAAAACATACAATTATTCATATTGTCTATGATACGATATTCTTTTTTGCATTCATATAATTGAGGAAATAAATCTTAGTAGTTGTATGAGAAGATCTTTCTAATTGTAGGCACGAGATAGGGTATTGATTGATCCCATTGTTTTAGAAAGTTAAAAACTTTTTCACACAGATCAGAAGTTATATTTTAAGCAGTACTTGTTTGAGTTTTATAAGAAGAAGATACTTTTCATAATAAAAATCAAGCAGTGATACATCTCCCGAATAGAACATTGATTTCTTTAATCATTGCATTGCATCTCAAAAAATTCCAAGTGAATATTTTCTGCGCCATTAAACCCTTTGCACTTAGCATCAACTTTTTTTGCGTTTTGTTGATATTTGTCTAATTATAATTGAATTATAGTCGCATTAAACGAGGAATTGTGAATTATGTACTGTTAGATTATATTATGATTTAGTCTAAACGTGTCTTACAATAAATTTTGTAACGTAAAGAATATAATCGTCAAAACAGTTGTTATATTACTATAATTCAGTGACACGTCGCGGGTCGGATTATATTACTCTGCGGGCGGGATCTGGCCGGCGGGCCGTAAGTTGCCGACCCCCGACTTACAGCATAACATTCAATGCAATTTTATGAATTCGTATGGGTTAGTAAATATGACCCATAATATTTGCCTTTTATTTCCATTCCATTATGCTAATGGAAACAGTATAGATATCCGTTTTAACAAATTCATTACATCAGTGATTTCAACATTTCTACCCCCGCAAACTGACAACACCAAATAACTTAAACTCGAGTACCGGCATCAGAATATTGAAATATTAATAATGATTTCAAGCTAACGTAAGCATGTAAGTGAAACAAGTATAACTTATACATCGTCTCATCTTATTGTTTCCTATTTTTTTTACTGCGTGAAATTATAAAATTTGACAATAAAACATGTTAATCAACTTTACGTTACTTGATTTGATCTAATAGATGAAACGTTAAATGTCTTACGGATAAAATATTAAATTCAAAATTTAATTTTGATTGGTCTCATTATCGGGTCTTGCATGTTTCACAAATACATCGAACATTCTGAAACTAAATTTGTACAACCCTAGCGTCATCGAATATCGGCGTAATAAAAATCAAAACACATAAATAGCATTGTGACAAAGAGTCGTAAGAAATAATAAATAATTGAATAATGACACGTTTCCTAGAATTTTCCCACTAACCATATAAACTTTCTTATGTTTCATAGTCATGTCATCTCCATGTTTTTTTCTTGCAAACTCATATGGCATTTTTATTGGAGGTGGCTATGATGACTATCTTGCGACAGAGTTTGGAAGTAAGTATGTAAAAATTATACTTTAGTTATCAGATTTTTCACGCATTTGAATGATATAAATAAAAGTTCGCATTTAATGCCTATTGAACAAATCTGGGTCGAGCATTTAAAACTAATTTGATCATTTGTAATCCAAATTTATAGGTGAATCAACAGACAACAAGTCAATATATACTTTCTTACTATTATTATATACTTTCTCGAGTCGAAAGTCGCAAAATGCTTCGAAACCTTGAATTGTCGACTGACCGACATACGGACTGTGCTTTCTGAGAAGTCAGATTTACTAAAATGAAACCCAAAACAACGACTTTTAAAGAGCGAAGCAAGTTCAGTATTCAAAGTCTCATTGAGAGTAGGGCAATTTGAACGTTTACGCAAGTTGCAACAAAATTGTTATGGTCAAATGCTTGTTCGGTAAGGGCAATGTTTAATTTCATATACTTTTTTACAAATTTCATAAATAATTAGAGAGTAAGCGAAACTTTTTAATTGAATAGATTTCGAAATTCCTTGATATATTTAAAAAAAAAGGTTCAAGAGATGATTTAAAACTGGCAATTTGAGATTAGGCAATGGGAGAGCAGTTTTAAAAAAAGTAATATTAAGAGATACAAAAGCTAAATGAGAATTTGGTTCCAGTCTGTCAGTTAATTTTGTCTATATCTAATCTAAAATAAGATTCAAAACAGCAAATATTTGGAATGAATCCAGGCGATTTTTATCAAAAACATCTATAAACTAGATAACTAGATTAATCACCTTGAAAAAAGTCATAGCTTCAAATACTTTTTGACTCAACATAGTTCTTGAGCGTCACGAAACCGCCAGAAAAAGACTTGGAAAATGGATATCGATTGCTAACACTTCATTAGAGATAATTTGTATAAAAGTAGTCGAGAAAAGAATCTAGCAGCAAATTTCTCACTGAATTTTTTTTTTTAATTTGGTGTGACAATAAATTTGAAAAACAGTTTCCAGAAATTTATTCGCAAGGACCCCTAACAATTGCCTTAAGATCAAGAACAAGAAGACACTATTATGTGCCTGCAAATAATAGAAAGCCTAAGTTAATTTAAGATGCGGCCCGCGTTTTAGCCAGGTATTGATATCTGGCCCGCCTGCAAAAAGGTTGCACACCCCTGATTTAAAGAGATGATTCAAACAAATCTCACATTTCTCACAAGTTCATGAAATTTTCCGGTTTTCTTCGATTTTTTCCAAAACGTGGTGTTTTTCCTCAAATTTAAACACTTTTTGCATGTAGTCACAAAATTCCCTTTGTACATATTCATAATACACATCCTTTAAGATTGAAAATAAATATATCACATGAAAAAGAAATTGATGTTTGCGAATCGGGACGCGTTAATTGGTTCGGGTGCATTGTAAAGATGACGCTGATGATCTCGGCATTCAATTAGAAAACTCATAGCACAACGTCGTATTTGTATTTTACATATTCCAAAATTCACTAATTTTTAAAATTTCTTCCAAATTGCATGTAATATTAAAACTGTCAATATAAATGTTGGCAGCGAAATATCCAAATTAAGCTAGTTTGGCTTGAAATAGCTAAAAACAAGTCAGAAATCCCGTTTATACTCGCGGAGGGTGGGGACGTACATGGCTCATAGTTCAGATACACCTAATTTTAAAACATTTTTGATCATATAAAAGCTAAATATAATCGGAAATATCGGTATAACATTTAGCCGATACCGATACATAACTAATGTCAAAAAAATCGGCCGATACTGCCGATAACCGATACATCGGTACATCTCCACATCAGGCTTATAGGACACAACAGAGAATATTGCCTCTAAGGTAACGGGTTGTTCAGAATGATTGTTGCTATCTTTAACCGCCAAATTTACAGTTTTGTTGGGCAGAATAGTTAAATTCGATGGGGCGATTCTACGAAATTGAAATGGTCGGGTTCCTACATACTTTGCCATTGAAATTTAATGTGGCGCATTGGTGGCTAAACAGGAGAAAACGAACGAAGGAAAGCAATCTTACTGCTACAAGATAAGTTCATACTCAATATACAAAAAGAATAATTTGTCGCTATCTTTTAACGCCAAATTACAGTTTTGTTGGGCAGAATAGTTAAATCGATGGGGCGATTCTACGAAATTGAAATGGTCTGGTTCCTACATACTTTGCCATTGAAATTTATATGTGCGCATTGGTGCTTAAACAGGAGAAAACGAACGAAGGAAAGCAATCTTACTGCTACAAGATAAGTTCATACTCAATATACAAAAAGAATAATTTGTCGCAGATTTTGCCCAAAAATTACAAACGATTTATCCATCCACGGCCACAAATTTTAAGAGATGAGTTACATGAGCGAGTAGAAACCATAATATGCAAAGAAAATAATTATTTGCGGAGAGATATACAGAAAAAGACTGTAAATTGTTACAATATAATATGTGTGCCATATCACGAATTTCAAATTAAACATATCTGCAGGAAAATTTTCACATGAGTAAAAAGATGGGTAAACAAAAGCTTTCGTAAAATTTTTTCAGAGGACCTTCATCGAACCCCCGGATACAACTCCCACGAACGCTATGGGTACAATCGAACCCAAGGTTTAAAAAAACACCGCTATAGACAATGCCGTACTCATTACATCATATTCACTGGTTAATAGTCCAGTTAGTGAGTTGTTCAGAATGACTGTTTTTTATCTTTTATCGTTAAATTACGTTTTGTTGGGCAGAATAAGTAATAAAGTAATAATTTCTAATCGTAAATTTGTAGGATAAAATAAAAATAATTATTTGCGGAGAGATATACAGAAAAATCCTGCGGCTACTTTATTTATGAGCACAATCTATAGTCATGTCTGCGGCTACGTTACTTCTGAGTACAATCTATAGCCATAAAGCAACATTAATTTTGACTTAGTTTGGTAATTTAGCCATAAATTAGCCATTTAGCCATAATTTAGCCATAAATTAACATTAATTTTGACGTAGTTTGGTTATTTAGCATACATAATATCTTGTGAACAGAGTAAAGCTTATATCATGACTTCACTAAACAACTATATACTTTATAATATTAAAAAACCTTCGGTTATTTGCAAGGACATACAAAGAAAATGAAAAAATCACTATTTTAGTGTATATAGATTTGGATCTTTTGTACAAAGCCCTCAAAACTAATGCAAAAATGTGAGATTTGATAAAAACCACATGCGCCAGGTTTTGAAAAACAAATAAGTAATTATCTAGTTTGGGATAGGAACAATTTGTAAATTTGTATTTCCAGCTCAATCTGCATTTCTAACTCAAACCACACAGGATAATTATTAATTTATCATCTGAACGTTAGCGGGGGTGTTTTGTTTCTACCGGGGAAAGGGGTGTACCAAAGATTCCTAAATTGATCCAAAATATGAAAATGAAAATGAAGGAATCAAAACACTTCGATTACATACTTGCTCTGCTGGTCAGACTCGATAGGCTTTCATCTTGATCAGTGATGAATACCAGACAAATGATCACGACGAAATTCTTTTGATGAAATTGATGTACTGTCTTTCTAACGTTCATTCAAGCAGTCTCTTAGTAGGCTGAAAATAAATGTATTTTTAGTTCATTCTAAAATTATCAGAGGTGTATTTAGCTTAGGATTGCGACGCAAAAAGAGTGAAAAGTTCTAATCCTATATTGTTACAATAAATAATTTCAAATTGGAAATAATTGAAACTCGTATTGTGCCTAATCACTAATTCCAAATTAGACAGCTAAACGTGAAAGTTTGGATATCAGTGGTGGAATATATAAAATTTTACATAAGTAAAAAACTAGATAATGGAAAGACTTCATGGCATGAAAATATTTCAGAGGATCCTCATAGAACACCTGGAACAGATCGACCCCAGGGGTTCGGTTTAATCAAACCCAGTTTAAAAAACATCGTTATAGACAATCTCGTGCTTATTACGCCATATTTACTGGTTATTGCTTCAGTTAAAGGGTTATTTAGAATGATTGTTGCTACCTTTTTAACGCTAAATTACGGGTATGTTGGGCAGAATAGTCATCTCTACGATGCGATTCTACGAAATGAAAATGGCCTGGTCCTAACAGACTTCGCCATAGAAAATTTATAGGCGCGCATTGTTGCTTGAACTAAACAAAAGGCGAACGAAGAAATTCAATTTTTCTGCTATAAGTTGAGCAGAATTCCCAAAAAATTACAAATATTACTTATTTGGAATGACCTTTTAGTGCAGTGATATTTAACGGGATTTGAGCTAAAGTTTTTCTACAAAAGAGCAACAGTTGCGTTTTACTGTCGCGCATCGTGGTTTCGCGGTCAAAACAATATTATTCTGTGCGTTATCAATGTAGCGCAGTTAGCACCGCCAGAATTTTATCGTCCTTACGATATGTTATTTTTTCAGTTGGCGCTGATAATGATAATTAAGAATGTGTAATTGTTGATTGCGATTCGGGAGGCGTATTTTCCTTTCACTCCATGAAACGAGTTCAACCGCCGTTGTGAGCGCTCAAAAGGAGAGAAGGGTTATAAGCTAATTTAACGGACTTTCTTTTCCGACTCGATTACATTTATTAATACAAATCACAGCGTTACATTAATTTACAACGAGTTTCGAGTAAGAATTCACATACAGCTATCGATAACAGACAGAAACGATAATTGTGAGAAATCTTGTGTTATGTTTTTTTCTTTCTGCGCCCATCATATTTTTCAATTTCTAATTTTGCATAAATAGCGTCAACACCGTTTTTGTAAATTTAGAAAGTCGAATCAGATAAGTAAAACAAGTGAATAATAAATACTATAGAAATTTCTCAGATATTGGGAAGACAAATTTTTTTGAAAATAACACTGACACGATATAAAATTGAAAGCATATAAATGTCAACTATCAGCTAATATTCACTAATACAGAATAAACTCTACCTACGAAATTAATTCGTTCCGGGAGCGCCATCGTACGTAGAAAATTCTATAAGTAGGCACGCGTCGGACATAATATTGTACAAATTATAGTAATAGTTAAAACCCGCATAATAAATAGAAAGGTACATGTGGAAAGAAGGAAGAACAGAGAAATAACGAATGAAAATTACGAACGGTAAGTTTGTTTACGCTCGTCATAATCGAACGAGTGAATTCGATTCCCAAATTTCCATCCGCCAATGATGGAAAATTAAGACCGTAAAACGTGTTTTATTTTTCGACTCGGCGCTGATTTAAATATTTCATGTCGGATGTTGTGATTTTACTTTTGCTTACAAATTAATACCGCCAACTTAAACTGAACGATATTGCAATCAACAGGGTCGGGGATAACGATAAAATCTGCGAGATAGATACTAAATAATATCTAAGAGATGTTTTATACGCTGTAAAATGCAAGAATAAAAAAAATTTCCGTTATGTTCGGTCACTATCGAAACTGAGGATGAAAACAATTAATTAGGTCACAATTTGCTTTCAGATTTATTGCCGAGAACGCACAAACTATCTGAACTAAATTGGAATTTACGATAATATTTTTAAAACATTTTCAATCGAAAAATCCTCGACGTCTTATAAAGCACTTCAAGTCGGCGCTTATTGAAATCGTTTCATGCCGGCTGTATCTTAGTCGAAGCAATATTTTTATGGAAATAATTTTCGTAAGTTGGATTTTTCGTACCCCGAGCCTTTCGTAACTAGAGTTTCTACTGTATCGCATCCCCGGTCAGTAATGATAATACTGTTCGCTCAAAATTGGGACCGTAATTTACAAACTGTGAAACTACAAATCCTACACAGAAGATAAAAATCGGAATAAAATTAATTTATGTTGTGAATGCACTTCTTAATAGTTGTCTTCGCCGAACTCATAATTCTGTCAGAAATATAAAAACCAAACTACGATATCCGCCGTTGCGTGAGAATTAATATTAGCTAGTGAATAAATAGTTTAACAACGTTAATTGGAGTGTCGGCCGCCGAAACAATCGCGGTGACAAAAAATTCACTGCAGCCTTCGATTATGACAAAATTATGAAATAAAAAATGCCGCATTGTTACGGAGTTTTCAGTCTTCTAGTGAAATCCGAAAAAAAAAAGTTAGTGTCACGTCGAGCATTTCGGCGGCCCACATCCCAATTAATGTTGTTTGCGATCACTAATGCCACTAATCACGGCGCATGTAAATAATCATTGAATGGCAATAAAAAATGAACTTCATTGACAATAAATTCCTGGTAATAGTTTCACATTTCCCGGATTTGATCGGCCCTACATGAGAGCGTGTTTTTGTACGTATAAACCGTTATGACGCTAGTTATAAGTTCTCTCCAAAATTAGTTTTCGCGATTTTTAATGTTTTATTTCTAAATGCGGGTACCCGCTGACTACGGATTAATGGTCGATATTTGAAATAGGACTTGCAAAATATTCACCAAACACCGTCAGGCAAAGAGAGGCGGGCTACACGTAACTGTGGGATTTCGCTGTGAAGGAAGCATACTTTTCAGTTTATTAAACGCCTTACGTCGTCGTGAATTGCACTTCTGCTTCACAGTTCAATTTCACTGTAACCCCCCGTTGGAAAAATCCTGGCTGCGCCTCTGGTTATACTATATACCCAGGTGTATACCAAATCAAACAAAAAGTATTATCGGTGGAGAGATATACAAAAAAAAGACAGTACTCCCGAATTAGGCCATAATTTATGGTACAAATACTACGGAAATACCCTCGGCTAGTCCCCGAACTCGTAATATAACTAAAATAGGAATATTAAAAAAAAATTATGGTCTAACCCTAATCTGGTACACATACTACGTTCCAGTGTCCGCCATCTTGATACACATACTTTGGAAGTACCGAAAAGTCTGTGGCTACGTTATTCGCTAATTTCTAAGCAAAAGCTATAGTTATAAATCAACGTCAATTTTTACGTTTTTTGTTAGCAGTATTTTAGCACAAATAGTATCTTGTGACAAGAGTTAGACTTCTGTCATGATTTCCCTAAACAACTCCGTTTTCCAATTAATAATATTAAATACCCTTTGTTATTTACAAAAACTTCTACACTAAAGCAAAAATGTGAGGCTCAATAAAAACACATAGGTGAATGTTTGAATTAGTAACTATCTAGTTAGGGTTAAAAACAAATTGAAATTTTTTAATTTCCATCGCAATCTATAAGGGTTGTGCAAAAGATCCTTAGATTGAACCTAAATATGCAAATTATATTGAAAGAATCAAAAGATTTTGATTACATACTTGCTGTTCTGACCAGACTCGATAGGCTTCTATCTCAATCAGTGATGAATACCGGGCAAATGAAGAGGCAATTCTTTTGATGAAATGATGTACTGTCTTGTTAACTTTCAATCAGTGTTGGGGGAAGCTGAAAATAAATTTATTTTTAGTTTATTCTCAAATTATCAGTGGCGTATCTAGGGTATGACAGATATAGCTTTTAATCCTAAATTGTTACAAAAAATAATTTCTGCCTTATCACGAATTCAAAATTACGGTAAGCAGCTAAACGTGGAAGTTTGCATATCTTCAGTGGAAAATAGTAAATTTTACATAAGTAAGAAGCTGGGTAAAGGAAAGATTTCGTAAAATTATTTCAGAGGACCTTCAGGTTCGGTTTAAGCAAACCCAGTTTAAAAAAACACCGTTATACACAGTGTCGTGCTCATTACGCCATATTCACGGGTTATTGCTTCAGTTAAAGGGTTGTTCAGAATGATTGTTGCTACCTTTTTAACGTTAAATTACGGGTATGTGGGACAAAATAGTCAACTCCAAAGTGCGATTCGACGAAATAAAATGGTCTGGTTCTAACAGATTTGGCCTTAAATAATTATGAGCGCGCATTGAGACTCAAACTGTCAAAAAGGGGTACGAAGAAATGCAATTTTTCTGCTATTAGTTAAGCTTATACTAAATATACAAAAAGATAATTTGTCACAGATTTCCCCGAAAATTACCTACTTGGAGTTCTCTTTTAGTGCAGTTATATTCAACCGGATATACCATAAATAAACAGGTGTATACCAAGATAGATCCCGGCTATACAAATAGCAATTGGCATACGATGGTACACTAGGGCTATAGCCTGATTCAAACAATCAAATTTCCAAGCCCGTTTTGTGTTTTTGAACGCGCACAGGTCCCGTTCAACATCGGGCTCAATAATTTATGAAGTATTTGTCTGTCCACGCCTCGGAATTTCCGAGTAATATTTTGTGACCAGCGTAAGACTCCTATCATGACTTCACCAAACAATTTTATATATACAATGAATATAGTATATACAATGAAAATAAAAATTGAACAAGGTGTAACATGTAGTATGAGGGCGAACAGCACATTTCAGCATATTAGATTGGAATATTTTGTAAAAAACACTCGACAATAATGCAAAAATGGGCGCTCCTGAAGTATGCGTACCGAGAAGACGGACACCATACCATAGTATGTGTACCAGGTTAGAGTTAGGCCATAATTTTAGATGCAAATACTACGGGAGTCACATGGCTAGTCCCAGAACTCCTAAAAGAACTAAAATAAGGAAAATTGCAATAAAATCATAGCCTAACCCTAACCTGGTACACATACTACGTTCCGGTGTCCGCCATGGTACGTGTACTTCAGGAGTACCCCAAAATATAAGACCTAATAAAAACACCTCCGCCAAATTTTAAAATAGCAAATCAGTAACTAGTTAGGGTTAGGAACGGTTTTAAAATTTGAATTTCCAGCGCAATCTTCATTCTCGACCCAAACCTTAACCGAGTAGTTAATAATTTTCTTATTTTGAGGGTTTGTGGGAGTGTTTTGTTTTTGACCGGGGGAATTGTTCAACCAACCAACGATCCTTAGATTAAACCTAATTATACGATTGAAATTTGAAAGATTTCGATTACATACTTGCTTTGCTGGTCAGACTCGATAGGCTTCTATCTTACTGAGACGAATTTCTCTTATTGATGAAGTAGTATACTGTCTTGTCAACTTTCAACAAGTGTTTAAAAAAGCTGAAAACAAATGTATGTGACATGATCGTCGTATTTTCACCAAAATAATAACGTAAGAGTATCTCAATTCAACAACAGCCCTTCGAAATTGTGATCCAACCATCAAGGGGTCGCATTTCTAAACTTTTGCGTAGATACATCTCTGCAAATAATTCAGAGATTTTCCCTAAATTTATGAAATATATATTACTTATTTGGAATGATCTATATTCTATACGTACATTGTGTTGCACCTCATCTTGTAAATGACGAGTACACTATTAACAATTATGTTATAATTCACCTTCTTATGAGAATCCTCTCTACAGTCACAGATATCTGCAGACATTTAATTTCATAAGATACTACTCGCAGTTTTCGAATTATATAACGGGGTACAATTATTACGACAAGAAACTGCCCAATGACGCTTTTATAACTGTTTATGGATATATGACTTATTACTTCTGTTAAGTATGTGGAATTACCATATTGATTACGGGAATCCATGGATGTCGAAAAGTCAAATAAAATGTATAAATATTACCTGTAGATTTTCCCTCGGTTTCGTTACATCGTGTCTTCGCATCTTCAATTTCAACATCAACAACAGTTCTGCATCTGAAAAGTTAAGATATTAATAGTAAACTGTTGCAGAACTTTCTAATGCGGGAATGGGAATACGTCTATCCACATTAACTAATATATAAAAGGAAAAAAGCCAAGTATATATAAATCCATGGATTTGGTGTTATATTTGAGGTGCGAAAGTTATCTATATTACATTGATGTAAAGCGTACCATGTGAAATGCAGCTTACGTAGTGAGACTTCCAGATTTGGAAATCAGTTTATGAAAAGCAATACGTACAAAAATTGAGATAGTAAGCAACAACATTAACCAAATCAATAAAAAATATAGAGTTTTAGGGAAACCATATAACAGCTTTACAAACACTTGTTAATATTTACCTCACCTGAATATTGTTCCAAAGAGACAAACTGATAAAGAGTAATATTCCAGCACCAACCACACACAAAATCGACCGCACTCCATCATGTAAATTTGCTACTGAGGCGTTGTCGCTTGTGCTTCCCGCGCGAAGAGTGGACGAAAACGCTAATTAGTCCTTTGTAATTAAACGATTTTAATTAGTCCCGCTATTCCAGGATCCAACAACCCTGGATCGCTACGAGCGGATCACGCTTCTGACACGTGATCACAAAACATAAACAATGCAAATGACATTTGGTATTTGCTTAATATTACTTGTGATTGTTTGAATGCCCATTTTACACTAATTTCTCCGTCCAAACCAAACGTTGGAGACCTAACATACATAGCAATATAATCGAGTTACATGTGAAAGTCCTATTTAATTTCTCAGACCGATGGTAACAATTGATAAAGACTCGATTTAGCGCAGAGCTATACCCAAAATGGAGTTGCGACACCGCAGGTGAGACGCAGCAACGAAGTTTTGGGGTTGCAACGAATACTCGAATTTCACACACAGAGTACTACCGGAATATCTAATGTAAATTTCATACTTTTGATTCAAAACACAACTATTAAAACTAATGAAACGTATAAATCCCACTATTTTAAAACATTGCATAGAATCAGAGAAGCGCTGGGCTTACATCAAACTGTAAAAGTTTTAGAAGCACAGATTTAGCAAACTCTCAAATCAGTGATTCGTAACATTTTCGAGCCATCAGAGAACCCTTTTATTACTCAGGGAATTTCGTCAAATCCCAAAGTTTTGAACGGTAGAAACCAGGGGTGCAACCAGAACCTCATAGGGGGAGTGAATTTTGTGCAAGGTATAGAACAGGGGTGGGTACCTTTTTCGGCTTGCGTGCCAAAATCGGCTAAATTTAATTACAAATTTTTTCGAGTGCCGACAAAAATTAAAAACAATGCTTTGCTACTTCAAAGCAAAAATACACAATAATAAACCCTTTAAACATGCACAGACAGATTCACTATTCGGAAAAATACCAGTCCGACAAATATATATATATGTGATTACTTTTCTTATTCTATACATACCGTGTTTCCCCGAGAATAAGACTGAGTCTTATTTCAATTTTCTTCCAAAAAAATAACACTAGGGCTTATTTTCGGAGAATGTCTTATATTTTCATTTATCAAAAACAAAATTAGAAAGTGGAGATTTGCGAGATTTTTCAATATATATAATAAGAAAACCGATATCAATTTACTTACAAATAACACGTTTTTATTCGAAATAACTGCAAAACATAGATTATTAATCATTTAAAACGTGTAAGAGAGATTTCTTGCTATCGACTAGGTAAACAAATTCGCGTTATTGAGTAGGTCTTATTTAAAGAGGCGGGCCTATATTAAAATCATTTCAAAAATTCAGTCTAGGTCTTTTTTTCAGGGTAGGTCTTATTTTCGGGAAGACACGGTATCAGGGAGACTCCTACTGCTGCATTACCGCTGATAGAGATTGGACATTGGGTTTATATTTTGTAACGTTTAAAGAAATACACGACATACCGGTTTCATGGTTCAGGCTACTTCTGTTACGAGACTAAATAAAGTTTATAGCTGAGAATAGAGATCCACAAGTTTATGTAGAATAAAACACGAACAGAAATGCAGTTGCAAAGTTTTCAGGCCACAAAATATTTTCGGGAATGGCATCCCAATCGCGCTATAGTTCGTTTTCTGCACTTTTCTCTTGTATTCCCTTCCCCTAATAGATTATATTTCTGTTTTAAATCAATTTATAACAGTGAGTTAGCAATAACTCTAATCAACATGAGCTGTACAACTCAAGCAGAAACATCAAGCAAAAACAGAGGGAAAATGGTGACTTAGACGAACTATTTTATACAAATCAGTCGACTAAATTTGTCGACAGCTCACTCAGTTGTTATGTCGTAATATATTTCTTTGTAACCATATGTCATGAAAGGACTAAAAGAGTTTAAATAAATAACGGATTGTTAACAAACGATAATAAATAAACGAACCCTAGTTTCATCAGATAATTCAGAGTCTTAAAACTTTTTATCTGAGGGAGGATGATCTCGTTTCCGAGTCCTCATTCACGTGCCATATAACTTCATCGCCCCCGGCGCTATGAAAAAAAATGCAAAATTAGAAACGTATATATTACAGACCAAATAAACAAAAAAAATCATAGTTAATAGTGTTTTTAATTAGATGAATGAGCTTGGTCGTCTTCAGCGAGTTTTTTTAATATTTGGTGACATTTTCGTCAGGCACAATCTCAAATCACCCCTGACGGAAAGGCGATTTCGTTGTTTTGATAGTAAGAGTGTCACAGATGAAAACCAATTTTCCATCATATAACAGGTCGGAAATAAAAGAATCCAGGGTTCTACCTCAACACAAATCGTCGGGTACATGCCTGTTCCGTTTTGTCGCCATGGTTCAGTGAAGCGTCGCGGGCCGGATTATTTTACTCCGTGGGCCGAAGGTTGTCGACCCCTGGGCTACGCAAATTACCTTGCGCCGTGGAATCCTTTCACGTATGATTACGCCCACAGCGTTCAAACCTGCATTGATTAGTGTATATCTTTCATCATAATCTGGGAAAATGTGACGTATGGCCTAGGAATGAATAGAAAGGTACATCCCAGGCGCAATTCATCTTTACTGGCGTTTCATCTTTACTGGCTGCGGTAGCAACCTTCACCTGTCGCGGAGCTTTTAAGACAAAATTTACGGTGTTTTCGTTTTATTTCTAATGTGTATAATATTGTTTCAATTTGTAAAGAAGCATGACGCCGCGACAATTTCAAACTGAGATGTTTTACATATTAAGAAACAGTAAAGCAGAGATCAGACGGTTAGTTGGCACAGGAGACAGAAAAGATCAAATTGATGAACCGTCTTCCGGTCTTATTATTCTTCCATTCAGAGTCAGAATTTTGGTTTGCAGATTTACAGTATGTTCAATGTAATTTTCGCGGGGCAGTCTAGTCGTGGGCTGCCAAGCGTGGCGTCGGTAATTAAGTAATATTCTAATTAACGCATTCATCGTCAGTAGCGGTGGCGCAGGGGAAGCGTAGGGTCATGGTCAAACATCAGGCCAGGGGTTCAAATCCCACAAGGTAGACTGAGGTATAAGCATAGGTCAGCAGGCAAGCCAGGAGTTATGTAGATAAGCAATAAGGGGGGATAGTGAGAGAGTGCAGGAAAGGCAGTCGACGAGCCAGTGAAGTCCAGCCAACAGAGAGTTCAGCTGAGAGTATAGGCAGTCGGCGAGCAAGTAAGACCAATATGGGGCGTGGAGGAGAAAAGCAGTCCGGTGAGCGAGTTAGACGAGCTGAACTGTACGGGGGTGGCCCTGGAGGAAGAAGGGCACTTAGATGAGGCGTGGATGTGAAAAGTAAGGAAAGGCAGTCCGGTGAGCAACTGAGGCCCAGCAAGTATACAGTGTGAGTTAGCCAGCAAGTAGACCGCTGGTGGGTCGGCGAGCAACATCCAAAGTGTGTGAAGGTGCAGCAAGCATTCTGTAAACCGCTGAGCTATATGAGGATGGCGGCGTTGAGGAGAATAGGCAGTCGGCGGCTAAATGAGGAGAGTACAGCTGAGTACCCAAAGCAGATTGCTAGAGCTGTAAGAATGGGGGCCGTAGCGATCAAGTAAGACAATATGGGGCGTGGAGGAGGAAAGGCACAATTGTAGCAAGGAGGAAAAGCAGTCGGCGAGCAAGTGCCCAAGGATGGGCGGCCGTAGCGAGCAAGCGTGGAGAAGAAGGACAGTCAGGCAGTCAGGAAAGACAGTCCCGGTGAGAATGAGCAAGTGAGGAGAGAGTGCAGCAGCATTAGACCGCTGAGCTGTACGGATGGGGCCGTGGAGGAGGGAGACGCAGTCCGCGAGCCCGCAGAGAAGGTAAAAATGCAGTCCGGTGAGAGAGATAGCCAACAGTGTGGGTGCAGCAAGTAGACCGCTGAGCTGCAAAGAATGGGGTGTGGGTCGGCGAGCAACATCTGTGTGCATGTGATGTGAAAGTGCAGAAGCAGTCAGTGAGGATGGGGCGTGAAGGAGCGAGCAAGTGAGAAGATTGCAGCTGAGTACCGAGGACCGTAGCAAGGAACGGTCCAGTGAGGCCAGCAAGTGTGCAGCTTGCTTGGGTCGGCGAGCAACATGTGTGTGTGCATGTGAAAGTGCAGCAAGCAGTCAGTGAAGGGAGCGAGCAAGCCGTAGCGGGAAAGGAAACAAGCACAGAAAACGTATTTTGACACTGGGCGTTATGAAAATTCTCAACGCTGCAGGCGAGCCCAAACAGTCAGTGAGGAAGCGAGCAAGCCGTAGCGAGCAACTTGACGCTGCAGGCGAGCATGGTATTTGAAAAAGGAAAACAAGCATAAATCAGGTCGTTATTTGACACTGGGCGTTATGAAAATTCTTAATGCGTGTAATAAACTTCCCCTGAGTATCAACCACCAACCCACACGAGTGCACCACTGGCTCGTAGTAGTCTGAAAAGGTCGCGATTTTGGTTGACATAATTCAAAAATGACCTTTGGAATTGCAAAGAGTTTTTCGGACAAACTCGGAAGTACCACGATCATTGTGATGTAATCTTATATACTGATACACCGTGTCGAAATAACCTTGGGTTTGTCATAATAGCGTCAGAGGCAGGGGTAGGGCTATCAACCGTCCCGCAATTGATGTCTAACGTCCCGTGTACCGGGATGGGCTACGGTTGTCCCGGAATTTAATGACAACCAAGGCGTCTATAATTGAAGGCCATTGTAAGCGGGTCGGCTTCGTTTAAAACTGGAAACAGATGTAATTCACGCAAATATATTTTTTAATAAAAACAATTACATCGGTATGGTTCATTCAAATAGAATAATTTGAAATTAGTGGATAAGACATGTTTAGTCAACCGTGACCTCCAGATGACATAACACTAAAATAAGTTGAACAACTGCAAAATGGATCATAACGTTAAATACAGCAGTCACCTTATTTTGAGAAGATCAAAAACTTGATCCAGTGAGATTTGTTGAAAAATTTTGAGCAGGAAAGGCATTGTGTGAGACACCCTGAGCTGGGCGGGCAGTCGGCGAGCAAGTAAGATCGATGAGGCGGGGGTGGAGGAAAGGCAGTCC